CGATGGAAATGGGTTCAGGACATCAAAATTATCCTATGAGGGGTCATGGACGAAAACCCGAAGAGTCAACTGTCAAAGTTAAAGTCAACGCTGACCGTTGATCGGTCAACGGTTATAATGGGTCCAAGTCAATGGATCACGAGTTGGGTCAACCGGTTCGGTCAAATTGGGTCAACCTGGTTTAGGGTAAGGGTTTGGACTGATTGGGCCCTAAGGTTTGGGCCTTGGGTTTTGGGTTAGGGAAATGGGTTGAAGGAATTGGGTTTAGGGTTTGGGCATTAAGCCCCCAACAGATACGACCCAAAGGCTTTTTAAAACTAAAAGGAATTAAAATAAAACCAAAATAAAAAGGAAAGGGGCTTGGGCTTAACGGGCTTGAGGCCCGAGTTCCTCTTGGCCCTGAGGCTTGAAAGCCAAGGGTTTGGGCTTGCGTGTCACGGCCATGAGGCCTTGGTTTATTCAACACGGCCTGAAAGGCCTGGGCTTGATGGAGGTGAACGTCGGAGCTTTCCCAGCTCTGACCGATTGCAAATGTGAACCTTTGGCTCTGATCTAAGCACCAAAAGGAAGCACAAGGTGAGAGGAGTAAGTTTATACCTTTGGTTCGCCGTGAAACGGTCAGTGTTGGTCGAAAAACTCCTCGACACCCACGAGTTCGCCGGAGATGGGTTTTGCTTTTCCCTGAGCCGATCTCGTTTTAAAACCTTGACAACAATGAGATAACACTCAATACTCACATCCAAGCATCAATCTAAAATAGATAGAGGGAAACCCAAGGCTTACCTAACTGGAAAAACAAGTAAATCTCGCCGGAGAGTTTCTGTGTTTCACCGTCCTAGCAGCGATGAGATAGAGAGAGAAAGGGATGATGAAATGATGATGATGATGTTGTTGACACTGGAACGATGGTGTGGGTGTGGGTTACGTGGGTTCTCATGGGTTAAAGAAAGGGAAAGAGAGATGAGAGGGTTTCGAGAAAGAGAAGGGAGTGCAGAGAAAAAGAGTTGAAAGTGAGAGAGAGAGAGAGAGAGAGAGAGAGAGAGAGAGAGAGAGAGAGGTCACAGGTGGGGGACAGAAAGAGAAACGTGAGGAGTGTTGGGGTGCTACCACGTGGCAGTTTGAGGGTAGAGAAAATACAACACTTTTAGATCCTGATTGGGTGAAAAGCTAAGGATTTAATTGATAATTCCATTAAATTTTAGGGAAAATCCCGGAATTATACATATAAGTAGGGGTGGGGTGTAACAATAATTATGTCAGAAAACAATCACTTAAATCAAAACCAATGGCGAAGCTAGTAACAGGGCTAGGGTGGGCTCTAGCTTAGGGAGAGTTTTAGTTGTTTAAGGTTAAAAATACTAATAATTTAGATTATTTTATTAATTTTAATTGTTATAGCCCACCTAATAAGTAAAAGTTCTGAACAGTAGAACTACTTTTAGAAAAGTTAAGAGTTAATAAATATTAAATAAACTATTTACTTTAATCAATATCAAAATTTATTATTATTATTATATTTCAAATCGTACACACACACTGGCAGTCACGTCCCATTAAGTCTTTTTATTTGATTAGTTTCTAGGGAGTAGTATTGTGACATCCCATATCGCCCAGGGGAGTGATTCTTATATGTATATTCTCATCCCTACCTAGCACGAGGCCTTTTGGGAGCTCACTAGCTTCGGGTTCCGTAGGAACTCCGAAGTTAAGCGAGAAGAGGGCTAGAGCAATCCCATGATGGGTGACCCACTGGGAAGTTGCTCGTGAGTTCCCAAAAACAAAACCGTGAGGGAATGGTAAGCCCAAAGCGGACAATATCGTGCTACAGTGGTGGAGCGAGCCCGGGAAGTGATTCGCCCCAGGCCAGGATGTGACAATATGGTATCAGAGCCTAACCCTGGTCGCGTGTGTGCCGACGAGGACGTCGGGCCCCTAAGGGGGGTGGATTGTGACATCCTACATCGCCCAGGGGAGTGATCCTTATATGTATATTCCCATCCCTACCTAGCACGAGGCCTTTTGGGAGCTCACTGGCTTCGGGTTCCATAGAAACTTCGAAGTTAAGCGAGAAGGGGGCTAGAGCAATCCCATGATGGGTGACCCACTGGGAAGTTGCTCGTGAGTTCCCAAAAACAAAACCATGAGGGAATGGTAAGCCCAAAACGGACAATATCGTGCTACGGTGGTGGAGTGGGTCCGGAAAGTGATTTGCCCCGGGTCGGGATGTGACAAGTATAGTGATTAGTTTAGGAGTAGAGTAGTCATCTCATCCGGTTTTAAAAAGTAAATTTAATATTTTATTAATTTAGGTTTCCTAGGAGTAGACTAGTTTATTATTTTATTTCGACTTTTGGATTACAACACAATGACCCTCTTTCACTTTCTGACTTTCAGAAAAGCCTTTGTCCCGTCTCGACCTCTCGTCTCTGCACTGCAGTTCACAGAAACCAAGCATGCAATACAAGTGAGAAAACTTGTTGATTTTTCTTATCAATATGTAAGTTTTTAACCACTTTATTCTTATGTCATGATGATTTTATTTGTTTATTGCTTTCATTTTAAGAATTCGTACTTTAAAAATTCAATTTCAAGTTTAATATATTTTTTCTGATAGTCTGATAGATTTCTTAGAAATATAATTTATTATATAAACTTGCATTATTGTTGTTCAATTTGTTAGGTTAATTCAACTTGTATTGACTTTTCCCGTTTCTACAGCAACTACTTAACGAGTTTTTTCATCAATGAATCTTATTAAAACAAGATGTCGCAGCAAGAAGGAGAGTGAATTTTTAGCAAATTCAATGGTTATGTACATTGTAAAAGAGTTTGCCAAAAAGATTGATTCAGAAGAAATAACAAAAAATTTCAATTCCATTAAGGATCGAAGGACACAACTTGAATAGGTACTTTTTCTTTTATTTGTTAAGTTGTTATGACAAGATTGATGATGTATGTTTCTTTCTACTATAAGTTGCAACTTCAAATGTTTTCTTTGTTAAATCTAGTTGAAACTGCCTTTATAATACATATAAGTAGGGGTGGGGTGTAACAATATTGATGTTAGAAAACAATCACTTAAATCAAAACAAACTTTAGCACTCACTTATTTTAAGTTTACAAATATCATTAGTTATAAGTAAAAAGAGCTACAAATATAACATTCACTAAATGATCAAAAGAATTTCAATCTTCAACAACCAAACATGAAAAAAAAAAAAACTTCAAAACTCTAAGTTTAAAATTTCACTTGAATATATAACATTATTATATAATAAAATTGAAAAATATCCCTTTTTTAGGATGTTACTATTGATACCCAAAATATCTCATTGAACTCCAAATTTTTTATATTTAGAATAGAAAAAAAATTACTCTTCTAAGCAGTGCACAATGAGATTTTAAAGTGCTAACAAAAATAATTTTTAAATATAAAACATTATTACATTATGTTAGGTGACAAAAATGTGGGGCCCCTTAAAATTTGGGGCCCTGTGCAACTGCACATTTCTCTCCCCCTCAACGCTTCCTTTGATCGTGCATTCTGAAATCATTTTAAATATTTTTATTTAAAATTAAATACAAACAGTACCTGATAAAAACTGATCACATGATATATGATGAACGGACACGATTTACGAATCACCAAGATCCTCACCAAAATGATCAGAGAAGATCCTTTTGGCTGTTAGTGAGCTTGACTATAAATAGTGCTCTCTCTCTCTCTCTCTCTTTCTCTCTCTCTCTCTCTCTCTCATAAATTTCTAATTAATTCCTTTCATTTTTTTTCTCTCTTTCTCACTTCATGGCGGATTATTTAACAAAATTGGAAGGGGCAGACATATAGTTGAGTTTTTAGTTGGCTAGGTGAAAAAGGCTAAGTGAAAAAATTGATTTTTATGAGATTAAATGAGATCACTATTGAGTTTTAGAAGTGTTGTCGTAAATAAGCCTTTTATTTTTATGTGTTGGTAAAGATTATAAAAGTTGTTGCCTAGGCTCCAAAGCGTCATTTTGTGTTTCAAATCTATGAAAAAAAAATTGTATAAGAAGAGTAAGGCCATCCACAAAAGTTTAAGCGAGTGATACCTGTATTTAGGAATCAAGAAACTTGAGTTTGATACGTATTACACTAGTGTGAGTTCAGTATGTGGACATCACATTCATGAGTTCAATATATTAATATCACTTTTTTTCTTTTTGCCCTAATGTGAAGGTCTAAGATGGTAATTTTTGAGTGCCAATAGCAATATTATTGAAATAATTCTCTGTACACTTCTATTAATTCTCCGATAAGAAAACTTGACATTAATAACATGATTGGATACCTTTAATTTTTTTGAAAAACGATATTTTCACTAAGAGGGTGGGAAATAGGCTAAACCTCAAAATGAACTAGTAATTATGTAGTTCAAATTCGTCTTTAGCGAGAATTGAATTTAAGATCTTTAACTTACAAATGGAAGGATAAATAAGCGGCCATACACTGTATAAAACATGTGGGCCCAATTTAAGTAATACAGGTTACTATTTAGTACATAGTTGCACCAAACATCCAGGTTTGTGTTACTTATCATGTCTAATTCTTTATACGGATTGCGAAACAAGACCTTAGTGACTTAATCGTTTAATTTTTAATCATTAAAATATCACACTATAACATAATTTGATAAATCCAAGAATAGTAACTGTTATATTTTAGGGAACTTTAACGAAAAGCTTCCAGTACTGCTAACTTTAAAGAAAAATCATATTTTAACACTAAAAAGTCAATCATAGTACTATTCACTTTATCCTTTATTTTATCGTTAAAACTTAAAATTTTAAATATTTTTTATTAGTTTCTTTAAATTTTATCGGTTGTAATTTCGCCGGAGTACCAAACTGTTAAAATCTCCGAGTTAGAACACCCCGGAATTGAAATTTTCAGAAAATCCTAGACATTTCTCCTCACCAGAAAAGTGGGCCAGCTAGAAGCTTCCAGACATTTCGTTTCACCGACTCTTGTTGGCCGCACAATCCTCGGCTTCTCTTTCCCTATATAAACCCCTCTCCCCCTACTCTCTTCCTCACAAGTCAATTGATTCAACAATTTCTCATCGATCCCAAATCTCTCTCAAATTTCCAAATCCCTAATTTCAAACCGCTTTCGAATTTCATCTCCCGTCTTCTGAAATCATGCAGATCTTCGTGAAAACCCTAACCGGCAAGACCATCACTCTCGAGGTCGAGAGCTCCGACACGATCGATAACGTGAAGGCTAAGATCCAGGACAAGGAGGGCATCCCTCCCGATCAGCAGCGGCTTATCTTCGCCGGGAAGCAGCTCGAGGATGGCCGGACCCTTGCCGATTACAATATCCAGAAGGAATCGACTCTTCATCTGGTCCTCCGTCTCCGTGGAGGTATGCAGATCTTCGTCAAAACCCTAACCGGGAAGACGATAACTTTGGAGGTCGAGAGCTCCGATACGATCGACAACGTCAAGGCCAAGATCCAAGATAAGGAGGGGATTCCTCCGGACCAGCAGAGGCTTATCTTCGCCGGCAAGCAATTGGAGGACGGTCGCACCCTAGCCGACTACAACATCCAGAAGGAGTCGACTTTGCACTTGGTTCTTCGATTGAGAGGCGGTATGCAGATCTTTGTCAAAACCCTGACCGGGAAGACAATTACTTTGGAGGTCGAAAGTTCTGATACGATCGATAACGTCAAGGCAAAGATCCAAGATAAGGAGGGAATCCCCCCAGACCAGCAGAGATTAATTTTTGCTGGTAAGCAATTGGAGGATGGCAGGACTCTTGCGGATTACAACATCCAAAAGGAGTCAACTTTGCACTTGGTTCTTCGACTGAGGGGTGGTATGCAGATTTTTGTGAAGACCCTGACTGGAAAGACTATCACTCTGGAGGTGGAGAGTTCAGATACCATAGATAACGTGAAGGCGAAGATTCAAGACAAGGAGGGCATTCCTCCAGATCAGCAGAGGCTTATTTTTGCCGGGAAGCAGTTGGAGGATGGCAGGACCCTGGCGGATTACAACATCCAGAAGGAGTCGACCCTTCACCTTGTGCTCAGGCTTCGCGGTGGTATGCAGATATTTGTGAAGACACTGACAGGGAAGACGATCACTCTCGAGGTTGAGAGCTCTGACACTATTGACAATGTCAAAGCTAAGATTCAGGACAAGGAGGGGATCCCACCTGACCAGCAGAGGTTGATCTTCGCTGGGAAACAGCTAGAGGATGGTCGTACCCTTGCGGATTACAACATTCAGAAAGAGTCTACCCTCCATCTTGTTCTTCGTCTCCGTGGCGGTGATTTCTAGAAAGTTTGTTAGTTTCATTTTGTTTTGTTCTGATATGTTGGTTATGATGGTGGTGTAATTGTGCTGAGTGGCCAGTCTGCCACCGTGTGCTATCGTACTTTTAATCGTCAAAACTCAGTTTAGTATCAATGAATAATTTTTAGTTTTGTGAACACTATCTGTGTTGCTCTCTTTGCAATTGCTTTTTGTTGAGTAATGACTTCATTCAATTTCTAACGATGGTGTTCTGCTATAATTCAGTTAGCCTAATCCTGCTCATGAGGTTATTGGTTGTGCGTGAATTAGAAAAGGAATGGATTCGATTAAACAATGAATCTGTGTGCATCTGTTGTGGCTTAAGAAGGAGCAGCAAGGGATGGATAGTAATTGAAATACTCAAATTAGGTTTAGTGAATTCCATCGCGAAGGGATGTTCTGATCTGATCTGTATGGAGTAAAATTTCACTGCACATGTTTGGCTTGGTGTTTCTATGCTTTAAGCTTTCGAATATGCAGATTGAAACATCCCTTATTGTGTGCTGAAATTTTATTTTGGGTTGATCAATCTGGGGTTATTGTTGTTAGGATTTGGCTCGTCATTTGTTAGTCTTATTTTGTTTAGGATTGTATTAGGAAAGCTAAAGGTTGCACATGTTCTTGTCCTACAAGGATTAGGAAAGAATAAGTTTTCCTGTACCATTAGATTAGGAATTGTAAAAGCAGAGAGCAAGGAGCTGAAAAGCAAAGCAGAAAACAGAGACAGCGTAGAGAGAAAAGAGGGATTAGCTCAAGGGTTTTAAAAAATACTGTCAAAGAAGCCGTGATTTCTCGACCAAGAGAAATCACAATTGGATGTTGGCAAAAAATATTCCGAACTAGTACAAATCTTGTGTGTTTCTAGTTATTCTCTATTTGATAAGTTTAGTTTATTGTCGTATACGTCAAGGAACAAGATCTAGAGTGATGTCGAAGTAGTAACAATTGTTGAGTTATGCCGAACTAGTACAAATCTTGTGTGTTACTAGTTTGTTGGTTTTGTTACTTCGATTTCTATCTTTTCTTTCAGATACTGTTCCAATTAGAAGCTTATAATGCATACCAATTTATCTTGAATATGCAAAAATTACAGAATTAAGTAGTAATGCTTTGAGCTAACATGCATCTTGTCAGGCCCCGATATTACGTCCAGAATCAACACGTGACATCACCAAGTATCTGCATATCTAACATACCCCGCCTCTGGGATATGTACAAAGCGTAACTCAAGATTCAGATTGTATAGAAATCTTCGTTTACTTTATGGCTGCATCTAACCTTATCGTTAGATTGCCTAAATATTCTAAAAAGGGATCAAGCCATTCATAGTTCACCGTTTCAATAAACTTCTATCACCACTGCAAGTCATTACTACATACATGTAAACATAGTAACCCTTATGAGATAGTATAGGCACATAGCTTCAGAACGTGAATCGTCAAATTGGTTTTGGTCTTAGTGTAGTAATGCATATAGATATGTATACTTATTAAGACACCCATTTTAACATTCAAACAAAGAAAGTGATGTATAAACATGAAGCACTTAATCAAAATAGTAATCACACCGAATCAGATTTGTCAAACTATTGATATCTATATCAGCCCTAACCTTACCAACCAATATAATTTAAATACAATCACAATCAATTTCTATATGCAGACCCCTTTCAAATTCTATATCAAAACATAGAGCCAATGGTTTGATAATAATTAGCTGGACTACTTGTAGCAACTAAAATAGCTTGTTTTCTTCAAAACCAATCCGATTGGATTGTAAAAATTGCGTGAGGAAGATATGCATGTACTTTGATACACATTTAGATAAAACCACCTGCATATATTTTCTCTTTATAAGTAATTATGTATTCAGTATACAATCGTTTGGAAAACAACCAGCTTCCCGAAGTGGACTAGTCGAAATACTTTGCCAAGCGTAGTAATACAACAATATAGCTTTCTGCATAATACAAGTCTTCAGAAACAGGGCTAATAAACAAAACATCCCTTTCGGCTTTTATACCATTCTAGGGTTTAGGCATTTGCATATATATAATACCAGTTTTGCAAACAATAGCTAATCCACGGCAGATTAACCGAAAGAAATATTAATGATAATTAGCTAAACGGAAAGGATAAAGAGAGTTGAGAATATGAATCCATACTGCAGGTGCAGGTTGACATCCCAAGTGAGAAGGATACGAATATCTTCAACTCCCTTCTCTCTGCTTCTAATTAATATCTAATCCCTTCCTTCCATTTGTCCTTTCTTATCTTTATTTTTGGGTCGACTAATGGGGAACTATTTGCACATTCTCTCCCAGTTCTTTCACTCTTCCCTGGTAGTGTTTTGGTGATCAGACTCGTTCCCCATGGGAAGCGAGTTCCCCTCCCCCCTCCCCCCCTTTTCTCTCCCCTTTTTTTATTTTTATTTTTTTTTACTCTTTCCTTCTTTCCTTTTTCTCGATCCTTCTCATTTTCCTTCTTTCTTTATTATTTTATTCTAATGCTATTATATTTATTATTTTATTTTAATGCTATTATCTTTAAGGGTATTTTGGTCTTTTCATATTTAAAAAAATAAAATAAAATAAAATTATGAACGGATTGTAACACCTCTAAGTCAAGTGATACCTTTCATTGGTTTGAACTGGCTAATCTGATACTTAAATGATTTTTGAATTGTGAGTGTCTTTGCTCCCAACCTTGATATTTTCGATTACATTGTGCTATGCATATCTTGACCTTTAGGAATCTTGAACTGTGCAGTAGCTAAGAGGCGATATAGTTTTGTTCTTAAGATAATAGAACCTATCCTGTTCTACTCATGAGGTTTGGTTGTGTGTTGATTGCTCATTTACAACGTTGTTTTTCTCTTCTCTTTGGGAGAGCCAGTTAACAGGACTAGCAGAAGTTTTGTGAATAGATGATTCTTCTGTTGTTGTGGTAGGTGTTATTGTTGGCTAGTTTGTGGAGATTGGATATGTGCAAGAGAGTAATTCAAATCTTCAACTGGGGAGTAGTGAATTTCAGTCAGAAGGGTCGTAGGATCTCTCTCTCTCTCTCTCTCTCTCTCTCTCTCTCTCTCTATGTGTTTCCTGGTTTATTCCATTGTGTTGTAGTTTAAATGCAAGTTTTTCTCTCTCTTTGATTTCTGCCTTCTTTCGTAGAACTCTGAACTGGTGAAGCATGCATCCTTGTCTGTCTTATATCAGACAATTAGAGCCTATTACTCTTCTGGTCACGAGGTTACTGTACTGGTAGCGTGTGAATTGCTCATGAACATTGTTGATCCTCTTATGATGAAGAAAACGATAGAAACAGTTGGCTTCTCTCGCTAACATTGGTGAAAAAGTTATGCATCTGTTTGCATGGCAGGTGTTAGGGAGCAATCTTTACATGGTTTTCCCTACAAGGTTAGTGTTTGGTTTTTACATGATTATGGTTGGTGGATCCCATTATGTTTATATTTTGGTTTAGGATAGGTGCATCTCAAGAAGCCCTGTTGTAACTTGAATTTCTATTGATTATTTCAGATTCTTGAACCTTGTTCCATTGAGAAGCGATGAATGCATGCCAATTTATGCTGAACATGAAAACATTAGATAATGCAGGAGTATGTTGAGCAAACTTTCCTCTTCTCTATTTCTAAACGTTTTCCACGTAACATCATTTTAGTAGCTTGAGCACAATTGATTGGGTTGAGCCAATGAATTTAACACTTTGATGATATCGCGTAATGAAATTGAATGGGCCTTCTTCCCCTTAGTTATCAAAATTGAATGTTCTTAATGGTGCTTGAAACATAGATTAACAAGGTTGCTGTCTTTCCTGATGTATTCATATGCCTGCCCAGGGTCAAATGAGATTTGTGGTTTGGAGCTGGAATTTGCCATTCCAGCCCCAGCAGAAAATAATTGCCCGATTTGAAATTGGGTCATTCTAACTTGGTGGTGACTTATTGTTACTTGATGCATGGTCTTTTTGCTTTAGTTACTTTGTTCAGTGCATAGGATTACAATACTTGCCTCTGGAGGCATGTAAAAATTGAAACATGTTTTTTGCTTACAATGTTATTTTTTGTTATTGTATTAAGTTTAGGAGTTACGATATGTGCAAGTGCAACAGGCACCCACTTGTTTTGCTAAACGATGGAGAGTAATTGAAACATTCAGTTCAGGATTCATGAATTCCATTAATAACAGTTCTTGCTAAAAGTTTTACCTCTGTAAAATTTCTCTCTGTGTAAGCTTTTGGTTTCTATTCAAGTTGTAGTTCTTAAAGTGAGCTTTTCTTCATGTTTGTTTTCTGCCTTCTGTCAATATAGTGTGCAGGTGTTCTACTCGGAGAATCCTGAACTGGAGAAACATGACCGAATTTGTCTCGTGTCAGAAAATAGTCTGTTCTTCTGCTCACAAGATTTTTGGTTGTGGGTGAATTTTCTCACGACCATTGTTGATCTTCTTAGCTTCAAGTAAACCAGTTAATAGCAACATTTGACTTCGCCTGTTAATACATGCAAAGATATGACGGAAGAGTGATCCATCTATTGGCGTTGCAGGTATTAGGGAGCGCGGTTGTGACATTGGTTTGCAAGCTAAGGTCAGCAGTTTTCTTCTTTCAAATGATTTAATGATTAGTCCATTTCAGTTGTTGAACGAAACATAGATTAACAAGGTTGAAATATCCGATTACCATACTCGCCATTTGGAGGCATGCATTCATACGTGTTCCTCACAGCATGTATATTAGCATATCAATGTGTTGCCCGGAAAGTGATTACATATGTAGATATCTATACTGCCTCAACGTGATCAAGGTGAAGGTTTATTTGCATGAATATCAAAATTTATGTTACAGGTGTACAACTAATGATATCTAGCACCGAGTGTCTTCATGTACAGTGATTCGTTGGGAAGTTTATGAGATCAGGCTTTAGGTTTGATTGTAATGTTGCAAGTTGTATACCATTTACTTCCTAATTTCTCAACTCCTTTCTGATTTCTCAAATGTGAGTGCTGCCGAGTGAATTTGAATCTCATGTTGAATTATCGAACCATAAGCGCCTAAAGCATTGCTCTCTGAGTATAGGTCCATGAGCACTAATCTCTTTCTTCTGACCCTCCATGTTTGTACCTTG